CCCGGCCTGCACCAAGCTCTGCACTGGCTTGCCCAGCTGCCTGCAGCCCCTCGGCCCCCTGCCCTCTCCCCAGGACCCCAGTTCTACCACCTGTGACCCCTCAGAGCAGCCACCACCAGCCCAGCTGCTGAGCAGGAGACTGAGGGCCGTGGAAGCCATTTATTTACCCTCCAAAACCCTCCTGTTTCAGCATTTCAGCAAGGCTGGAGGAACACCTGCCACAGGAGATCCCTGAGTGCCCAGGATGGGGTGAGCTGGCTGCCTGGCACAGAGATAACCATGCAAATGTGACCACAGCCCCCAGGATCCCAGCTTCCATCTGCTTTTGGTTTCTTTCAACAACACCAGAGCCCTCCTCTACCCCCCAGGGCTGCAAATTCAGTCCACATTGCTGCACATGGTGGGTCAATTAAAACCATCTTTTTTCCACCCCAGCTGAGAAACCTGGACCATGCAGATTGGCAAGGCAGAAAGGAGCTCTGGATCAAAACAGCATCTGGGTGGAGCAGCTGGGGGTTAAGGGATACACCTCCCCTTCCCCACCTACACTGGTCCTGTGGAGCTGGGCAGGGAGGGTATCCAAGGTGACATGGCCACCCACCCAGGGACACAAGGACTCTGTGCCACGGGGCAGGAGGTGCCTGCATTGCCTGGCATGGGGTGTTAGTAACTCCTTTGAGGAAGGGGCTGCCCTTCACCTATGTGCCCCCACCTGGGCTGCTCCCCCCAGAAACAAGCAGGATCCATGTGTTGCTGCATCCAGTGCTCCAGCCCCCAAGCACCTGGCAGTGCAGGGATGCAAGGATGCTTCCCTGGCTGTAGGCAGCCTTTTGGCACCATCCAAGCTGCCAAGTGGGCAAGGCATGGGCAAGCACAGCACACCTGGAGCTGGCCACACCACGTGCTGAACCCCAGCATAGGTTGGCAACTCCAGCAATGAACCAATGCTCTTTGCACTAATGATTTGGCTGATTTCCTCACCTCAATTAGCGTGCAGGAACTCAAAATGCTTGCAAGACCTCCTGGAACACCAGGGCATAGAAGGCTCAGGAGGCTTAATATTAATAAAGCTAGAAGTTAGCCAGAAAAATCCCAAACCCTAAAATCAGACCACCAACAAAGTCTAATTCTGCATTTTGTAGGTGCTGGAAGCCTGATTGGTGTCCAGACCTTGGAAGTCACCCTGCAGCTGGCTTGGGAGGGGTCCCAGGCTGAAGCCCTGCCCTCACCCTGCTGACCTCCTGGAAAGGGCACAGAGTCCCTTTGGGTGTCCCACTCACCTGCCAGCTTGAGGTCTCCATGTTCTAAGCTCTGCCTGTCACTCACAGCTTAGCAATAGCAGAACTGAGGCATGGAATCATTGTATTGCAGCTCTGTCCATCCGGCTTGCCCAGCTGCCTGCAGCCCCTCGGCCCCCTGCCCTCTCCCCAGGACCCCAGTTCTACCACCTGTGACCCCTCAGAGCAGCCACCACCAGCCCAGCTGCTGAGCAGGAGACTGAGGGCCGTGGAAGCCATTTATTTACCCTCCAAAACCCTCCTGTTTCAGCATTTCAGCAAGGCTGGAGGAACACCTGCCACAGGAGATCCCTGAGTGCCCAGGATGGGGTGAGCTGGCTGCCTGGCACAGAGATAACCATGCAAATGTGACCACAGCCCCCAGGATCCCAGCTTCCATCTGCTTTTGGTTTCTTTCAACAACACCAGAGCCCTCCTCTACCCCCCAGGGCTGCAAATTCAGTCCACATTGCTGCACATGGTGGGTCAATTAAAACCATCTTTTTTCCACCCCAGCTGAGAAACCTGGACCATGCAGATTGGCAAGGCAGAAAGGAGCTCTGGATCAAAACAGCATCTGGGTGGAGCAGCTGGGGGTTAAGGGATACACCTCCCCTTCCCCACCTACACTGGTCCTGTGGAGCTGGGCAGGGAGGGTATCCAAGGTGACATGGCCACCCACCCAGGGACACAAGGACTCTGTGCCACGGGGCAGGAGGTGCCTGCATTGCCTGGCATGGGGTGTTAGTAACTCCTTTGAGGAAGGGGCTGCCCTTCACCTATGTGCCCCCACCTGGGCTGCTCCCCCCAGAAACAAGCAGGATCCATGTGTTGCTGCATCCAGTGCTCCAGCCCCCAAGCACCTGGCAGTGCAGGGATGCAAGGATGCTTCCCTGGCTGTAGGCAGCCTTTTGGCACCATCCAAGCTGCCAAGTGGGCAAGGCATGGGCAAGCACAGCACACCTGGAGCTGGCCACACCACGTGCTGAACCCCAGCATAGGTTGGCAACTCCAGCAATGAACCAATGCTCTTTGCACTAATGATTTGGCTGATTTCCTCACCTCAATTAGCGTGCAGGAACTCAAAATGCTTGCAAGACCTCCTGGAACACCAGGGCATAGAAGGCTCAGGAGGCTTAATATTAATAAAGCTAGAAGTTAGCCAGAAAAATCCCAAACCCTAAAATCAGACCACCAACAAAGTCTAATTCTGCATTTTGTAGGTGCTGGAAGCCTGATTGGTGTCCAGACCTTGGAAGTCACCCTGCAGCTGGCTTGGGAGGGGTCCCAGGCTGAAGCCCTGCCCTCACCCTGCTGACCTCCTGGAAAGGGCACAGAGTCCCTTTGGGTGTCCCACTCACCTGCCAGCTTGAGGTCTCCATGTTCTAAGCTCTGCCTGTCACTCACAGCTTAGCAATAGCAGAACTGAGGCATGGAATCATTGTATTGCAGCTCTGTCCATCCAGGGACTGCTCTGCATCCCCTCCTGCCATGGTCCTGCTCCAAAAACCTCTCTCCAGCTCCCATTTCTGTCTGCATCCCACCTCAGCCCCCATTTGGCATTGTGGCCATGGCCCAGCACACTCCTGGGGTAACCTGGATCTGGCCCTCAAAAGTAGCAGCTCCCCTGTCCTCAAGGGAGCTTGGCTGCTCAGCCCCAGCAGGATGGGTGCCCAGGGGAGCTCCCCTTCTACTCAGAGGGGTCCTGCAAGCCCAGCACCCACATTAAAGCCTTTATGCAGGAGGGGGCCCTGCTTTGGGCAGCCCCTCCAGCAGTTGTCCCCACAGGCAAGCAGTGGGGGACCCTGTGCCCCCACACTGTGCCCTCAGCTCTGCACCACAGCCGTTCTGCCAGAGGTACCAGCTGGGCCAGACTCAGCTCCTGGCACTTGGAGCAGCACTTTGCAGCAGCCAAGAGGGAGGGGATCTGGGGGGGCAGGCCGTGCTGTGCTCACCGCAGGCCAGGCCCCCCCCTCACGCCTGGGGCACTGCCCCTCATCAGGAGGATGCACCGCGAAGGAGATCGATGGGCTGGGAAGAAGCTGAGCTGCACAAATGCACTTTATCGACCCCTGGAGCCCACCTGCTGGGAAACACCCCCCCCCCGGTAACAGCCCAGAGCAGCAAAGCACTTTGCAGCATCCGCAGCCGTCCCGGGGAGGTGGGGGAGGCTGCCGCAGTGCACCAGACCTGTCCCCCCTTCCATCATCCGGGAGGCGGGGGAACTGAGGCAGAAACCTGGCGCTCTGGGGTTGTTTTGACCCACCCAGCTTCTCTGCGGAGCCGAAGGGGGGGTTGTCGCGTCCTGGGACCCTGCCTCGCGCCCTCTCTCCCCGAGCCTGGCACAGCGACTTTGGCTCTTGGCTGGACCCGTCCCGCCTTGGACCCCCTTCTGGGGACCTGCAGCGGTGCAAGGAGGCGACAAGCGACTGCAGGACGTGCAACAGCCGGGCCACGCCTGCCACCTGGTGGCACAGCCCGGGGACACAGCCAGCCCCGGGGACACCAGGGACCCCGTCCCCTCCGCATGCCCCGGAAGCAGGGGTGCAGGAGGGCTTCCCAACCTCGGCTGACCGCGCGCCAGGAATCCCCCAAAACCGAGGCAACGGCCACCCTACATGTCACAAGGCCCACAGGCAGATTTGGCAGCAGGATGCACCCCACCCCTGAAGCGGTGGCTGCAAGGAGCTGGACCAAACAGACACGCGTGCCTTGAACTAGGAGAAACAGTTGGAGCTGCTCTTGCTCCATCCTAAATCATTCCTAAGCCCACCCGGACAGTGCTGCCCTGGCTACTCCATAGAGAGACTGCTCCTGGCTCAGCTTCCCTGGGGAAGCTGATCCAGCCCCACAAAGGCAGGGATCAGGGTTGAGCTCTTCTCTCAGGAAGTGGTCAAAAGGGTGATGGTTGAGACACAAGCACAGGCAGAGAACACACTAAACAGCTCCGGTGGAGAAGATGGTTCACCGTCATCCTTCCATGGCACTGCAGAGCTGGGTGGAACACCAAAACCCTATAGCAGCTCAGAACTCCCCCCAGTTGCCACACAACCTGGTCACCCTCCCACCACAGGATCAGCTGGTAACACCCAGGAGCTCCTGAGCACAAGCTTCAAGGTGCAGAATACATTTCTGCTGGTCCTCTTCTGCTCCTGTAGCTAAGAAGGGATACACGGATCTGGTCTTCCACCAGCCCGTGTCCGTGCTGAAGCTGTGAGAAAGATGCTCAACCAAAGCACAGCACAGTGTAAGGGTGGAAGGAAGCAGGAAAATAGAGCACTGTGCAGGAGACAGACTCCAGGATGAAGTCTCATCAAGGAAGAAGCAGAACCACAGAAAGGACAAGCAATATTGGGAACTTTTTCTTCATTCACCCACCGAGAAACAGAAATAGGATCATTTCTGGATGTATTTCTTTTGGAAATGAGCCAAACTGGCAGCTAGAATCAAAGTCTTCAAAAAGTCTATACAAAGATGTATCATACAAAATGTACAGGAAAGTTCTCAAAAAAAAACCAAACCAAAACAACAACCAACCAACAGACAGACAATACAACATAAGGAGAGCAAAGATGTGAAACCACAGCTAACAAACAGGTCCTACCCCTTCTCCTGAGGGCAGCAGCTGTATCTGGCCAACACACTCTGAACACAAAATACATTACACTATATACAAGACTGTATAAAGATCAGCATTCCCTTTGGTCTAACCAGGAGCTCTCCAGCATGAAGTTGGGGCAGTTCAAACAATCTGCTCATGGAAGTGTTACATGCCAAGAGGGGAAAAAAGTCCAAGGGAATGAAATGGTCAACTCTAAACCATAACCAGAATACAGCCAGGCCACCAAGGCTACAGCATTTAACAGTCAGTTCTGGCCAGCCAGTGCTCTGAGAGCCAGAGCACATCACTCCATCTCGGTGAAGCGAGCGAACATGGCTTTCCGCACAGCATCTTTGTAGGAATCTGCAGTGGAGACACCATAGGAGCTGCCCTTGGCTCCCAAGCCAGCTCCTCTCATTCGTACTTGGGCCTGCAAGGCAAGAGAGACATACTTCAACTCTCCAGCAAAAGGCCACACCATCACACAGACCACAGAGAAACCCATTCAGCTCCCCCGGGGATCCTAAGCTGCTGTAACTACCAACACCAGATCCCATAACATCCCACGCTTGTTGGCTTCACAGTGCTCTGACCCCAGCCCAGCAGCAGCTGAAACAAACCTGCAGAGAAGAGCACAACCCAGAGCACAGACAACCCTGGAAAGCCAACAGCCAGAGGGAGAGCAGCCCACCCTGAACAGCACCAGTGTAGTCAGCTGAAGTGCAGGCCTGCTGCCACACCACCTCAGGAGCAGAAGGAAGCACAGCTCTGCTTGTCTTAGCTCTAGCACGTGACAGGACAAATAGGAGCAGGGGCCAATGCCAACAGAGGCAGCTTTGCTGTGGATGGCACAACTTCTTCCTCAAGAGATCAGCAGCAGTGAATGCTTCTGGATAAAAAGCAGGCACTAATCTCACCAAGAAAGCATCCATCTCTACTCACCTCAATGGGTGCTGTGATGCCCTGACATTTTCTTCCCAAGCCTGAACCTTCCCTCCAGCCCATGGCCTGCAGCATCTTGTTGCCTATATTACTGTTGTCAAGGCCATCTTTGGTGGGCTGCTCGTAATTACTGCAGAAGAAGAGATGAGTTAACCAAGCTGCTCTTTATGTGTACTGAAGCAATCACTGAGAAGCTTTTGGATACATACACTGAGCCAGCATCATAGACCTTCTTGCGCTTCGGCTCAGGGGGCTCAGGGATCCCATACTTCTCCCGCCTCTCAGCTGCTCTGTCTCTGTATTTCATCTGCACAAAGGAACCAGAGTTAGTATTATTTTTAAAGACTCTTTTGTTCATCTTTGAGCTACCAAAACTAAATGCTTCCTAAAGCATTCCTAAAAAGCTGTCCGCTGCAGCCTCCTAAAACACCTTGGCTAACACCACAGAAACAAGAAGCTCAACCACAAGTCCCACATCAGAATATGTGCTGGGGTGTAGGAAGATCCCAGCCCAAACATCTGCTCGATTCCCAAAGGCTTCTGGTCCCAGTTTGACAGCCCTGTACTGAGGGATGCCTCTTGCTAAGCAGAAGCTGTGGGATACAGAACACAGCTCTTCAAGTAACAGGACAGCTCTGAACCTCGACCCAAGAAGGGGTTGGCTTACAAGGATTATCTCAAATGACGTGTGTCAGGATAAGGAGAGCTCAACAGATCATCTGTGCAGGTTTTCCATTAGCTACTCATCTACTCATCTGCTCAACACTGACCTCCCTCTCACGCAGCTCCAAGGCTTCAAGTTCCTGCTCAGAAAGCTTTGATCTCCTATAGATATCCATGTTTTGCTGAAAGAAGAAGAAATTCCCATTACCACATGCACAACAGCTCTTTTAACCTAAGTAGCTGACCTCTGGAAAAGCAACAAGCCACGTGCAACTGTTTTTGAGTTTTCCAAACTGCAACATGCATCATGGCTTTGAGTTACACACTGGGGTAAGACAACCAAGTCCCCTCCTGACAGCACAGTGAACTACCTTGTGCAAGTCAGACAGCTGCTGGTGCCGAATCAGAGCATCTTTGTTTGGGAACTGCCTTCTACATAGCAGACAAGCCATCTTCTTCCAGTCAGTCAGCTTCTCTTCCTCGTTCTCCATTCTTTCCAGTAAGTCCTCATCGTTGTCGCTGTCACCGCTGTAGGCAGCCACGAGGCCACGCTGGAAGGAAGGACAGAGTCATGGGGACTGCAACAGTGTCACCACTGCCCAGAGGAGAGCCCGGAAAGGGAACACGGAAGCTGTAGGTGTTTGCTGCACAGGAGAGGCATCACTTTAAGATGTGATTCAAAAGAACTACATACTACAGTGGCTGCAAGAGATAGCTGAGGCTTTGAGGTTTCTCAAAGCACTGTACTTAAATTGTTGTTTGGCTAGTGGGAACTCCCTCTTGGGGCTGGAAGAAATCACAGCTTTTCTCAGTGCATCTCAGTCATTTAATCTACTATACATGCACCAGGCCACTGCAACCAGCATAACCTTCCCAGCGTGGCCTTGTGGCTGCTGTGGATATCCAAGTTGAAAAGCAAGTATCCTCTGACACGCCTTCCCAGCAAACTTTGAGAATACCTTTGTAGAGATCTCATACCTTCAGTGGATTGTCATCGTCCCCGTTTTTCAACACCTCTGGCAATATCTGCTGCCTCTCAGACAGAGCTCCCTGGATGAGACAAGAACACCATGAGCACCCAGCTGTCTGCCACACCTCACCTCACTGCATACTACTGCCAGCACCTTCACCTTTTTCTCAAAGAGGGCAAAGCCTGCATCTGCAGCTGCTGACTCCTTCCGCTCCTCCTCCCTGTTGCTCAGGGGCTGGAAGCTGTTCTTGAAGTTCTCTTTCTGTTTGTTCAAACTCTTTGCCCAGCGCTCCATGTCTTTAGCAATCTGAAATGCAGAGTGGTTGGCTCAGACAGCTCCCCTCACAGCTAGCCATCTCCAGTGACACAGATTCAATCTTGCACAGCTTCCAGAACAAGTCAACCCACTACCTTTTATTTTTACATCACAGGACACTGGATGTAGTGCAGCTGTTTCCCCATATTCAGTGTTCAAAGACACCGCAGCTTGGTTGTTTTACTGTATGAACCCTTCTTATCAATCTAATCCTCCGAGTGACAGCTCAGTTATACTCCCACTGGCCCTGGCAGGATTCCATGTGCGTTCCTCCTATGCAGAGCTTATTTCTGCACTGATGTCTTGCCAATTCCACCTCTCCTCAGTCCTCTACAAAGCCTGCAAGTTGCAGGCATGCACTCCACTGAAATAATCTAGGATTTCTTTTGTCATGAAAAAGGAGAACTCTTATCCCATTCCACAGGAGACTTTAACTCAGTTACAATCCTGTTTTGTCTTATACCTGTTGAGCCGTTTTACTTTTCGGCTTCTCTTTCTTCTCCTTCACTTCTTTGGTGGTGGTCGTGGTAGTTGTTTGTTGGTATGTGACACCTTCTGCAGCAGGCATGTATGTCTCCTTTTCCCCATCCCAGTAAAGGTACTGCTGGGTTAAGGCATTGTAGTAATACTGCCGGAGGAAAAGACAGTCAGACAGTTAACACCTCGCCCAGGCCAAGCGTCCGAGGGACAACCCACACAAGCTGCCTGATTCAGACTACCACGTCACACGGGAAGGCATTCTGCAGAGTCCAAACAGGTTTTGTGAACTCCACAAAGGAGTCAAAAGGCACCGAGTGGCTAAAGCCTCTGTCCCCAGAGGCGTTCTTCACAACAGCACTATGGAGAACCTTTTGTCTCTCCCAAGAGACAACCCACCAGAGCCCAGAGCTGAGTGCACTTTGCTGGGCACTCCACAATGAAATAGCTCAATTATGGTGTCTGTGACAAGTGCTAGTCCTGTATGGGCCAAACTGGGAGAAAAAAAAAATGAAGAGCTATACCAGAGTGAAGTCCCAGCCCTACACACACTGCTGAGTTATTTGCAACATTTGTCATTTTGTGCACCTCAAAAATCAATCCCTCTCTCATGGTCAGACAGGGAACTAATGGACCTTAACAGTCAATACAGGTGGGAAGAACTTGTGTTTACCTGGGAATTAGGATCATAGTAGAGCCCTGTTATAGGATCATAATAATATCCTGAAGATTCATCATATTGGTAGGTAGAAGTGTCGGGGACAGCTGTAAAAAAATTAAAGTGTGGGACATGGTCGTTCCAGTTGAATGCAGACAGGTATCTTTCTACATTTCAGGTAAAATTCTGAGATAATTAGCAGGCACGACCACAGACATGTCTGTAAAGGGCTCTTAATCACCCATGCAGAATATGCTCTCCAGGGACAGCTTCACCACCAGCAAACGGTGATAGAGCACTCAGCCAAAGCCAAGTATCTCTCCTGCTATACTGTGACAGAAACCTGTCTGCAGGAGCACCTCCCAACTGCTTACCATACTTGGTTCCAGGGACTACGCCGGTTGGGGCAGCTGTTTGTGCCTGAGTGCTCGTGGTAGGTGGTGCTGACTGTGTCTGGGGAAAAAGAAAAGCAAAACCAGGAATCTCAATTAGAAAAATCTGTCACTGAGGTGCAAGAAATCAAGGACAGTGAGCCAAGGCATGAGCAGCCCACACCACACATCCAACAGCTGGCTGCTCTTCACCAGTAATGTTAGTGCTCAGCCTTAACAAAGAACAGAACTACCACAGAGAAGAAATGGTAGATGACTTATGACCACAAGCACTGTGACTAACCCAGGACACTCGGCAGCTCTGCTGTATCACCCACTTCAAAGAGCAAGAGACACAGCTAAGCCAGATATGCCACATAACCCTGGTATTGAAGGCAAGGAGTCATTAGTGCTGTAATTACCGGAGAGTCAGGTGAGTTTGTCTGTTGATTGTACAACTGAGGACTCTGGGACACAACTGCAGCTGTGGTGGTAGTGACTGGAGCTCCTGCCAGAGAACAATAATGGATAAGCCAACTGATTTGTAAAACAGTACTTCATCCTAGGGCTAAAATTACTTTGTTTACAGTTTCAGCTCCTAATTCCAGCTGCAGCAGCCAAACAAGGCAATCAACATTCAAAAGGAGACAGATACACAGTGGGTATTTTCTTCCCAGACAAGGAACAGTTTCCTTTTCAGGAGGAAATATTCTGCTCCCAAAGCCAGTGATTCCTGATCTCTGACAGCTGCTAGCACTAAGATTTGTCTAGAGCTGCTTACACAGTTCTCATGAGTTCAAGGCTTTAGTCAGTAGTCTGATAAGGAGGTTGCTCTTTCATATGACAGACTAGAGTCCCACTTGGAACAGATTTGTTATGGTTCTCCAGTAACATGTACTCATCATTCACATTTTAAGAGCAAAATGAGCCAAGTCTCACTTTACCTAGCAAGCTAACATAAAGGCTAAGGTAAAATACCACAATTGCAAAATTATAATAAAAATACCCAGCATCTTCCACATGTCAGAAATACTACCTGATATGGTAGCTGTGTCTGTGTCCAACACCCCTCCTTGATTTTGGTAATACTGCTGATAATCCTGGGAGTACTGCAAAGGGAAATGAATGACAATGCTACATGAGTAGCTACTCAAATAACCACCACCTCCTGGTTAAGAGGACAACCACCACAACTAACCTGAGCATATTGTGTGTAGCCATCCTGTCCTGATTGGAGGTAGCTGTAGTCAAGGGTGCTGCCTTCTCCAGTCTGTGGCTGAAATTCAAACAGGTGATTTTTGTCAGGAAAAAGTAAATTACTGCAGGTAAGAATTGCAACACTACTTAGGCTCTAGCCTGCCAGAGCACATGTGTCATAGCATCTTTGGTCAGTTCAACCAAGCAAGTGGTCAGCAGTGAAATTAAACACTTTTGTTTTCACTTTCAGGAAAGGACTATGAGCAAGTCTCCAAATCATACCTGAGTGGATGACCACTGAGCTGCAGCAATGGCTGTACTTGCCACAGAGAAGGCGCTGACTCTGTTACCATCGGGGAGCAGCAAGTCTCTGTTAACCACAAAAATAACTGATCTGAGTAAATACTGCTTTTTTTCTGAAGGGTCTCCCTATGCAAGGAGGTAGAGTCTGCCCTTACATGTCAATTTCTTGGCAGTTATAAAACACTTTGACCATAATCAATAAACCAAAGCACCACTTAGCAAGTAAAGGAACTGCAGGTTCATTGCTGTACAGTCAGTAACAAGTCACTAGGGTCTCCAAGGAAACAAGTGTGCTGTGTACACAAGCAGATACCACGTTATCCTCAGAGGACTGGAAAACCAGGGTGGTAGGACACACTGTTTTCACTCTCATCACACGTAGAGAAGAGCAGAGTGCATTCAACACAAGACACGTAAGTGAAGCAAAACTTTGGAATGACAGTAATCTTGGAAAAAGCCTGGGTGACAACAAATCTCTAATATAAAAAGAAGGGAGAGAGGATAAAATGAAATAAATTGCTACTGCAACTCACTTTCTGGCACTCTTCGCAAAGTCAACGCCAATTGTTTTGCCATCAATTTTTAATGGTGGCTGAAGACTTTGTAAAATCTGCAGCAGTTGAGAAGCATCCTACAAGAAGAAATACTCATTATTATGAAAGGAAGGTTACTGAGGATTTAGAAGTTCCCAAAGCTCCAGCTTTTCACATACAGCCACTGAAAGCAGATAAAGCTCTAAGAACAACTCCCATCTCCTCACACTACACAGGCAAAGGAGAACAATGGGGCCCACCACAGCCTATGTGCCAATAACGCAGGTTTCCCTGAGTCACTGAATATTAGACATTTTCTAAAATCTTAGCTTTATAAAGCAAATGTATGTCTCAAATTACTCCAAAAAGGAGGCCAGCAGAGACTGACATCGGCACTTGTTTTCATCCAACCAACTGTCCCACTCTGCCTAAAGCAGGTCCAGATTGTGTTCCTGGCTGACTTTAGTATATGCAGGAACGAGGTTTTACCACCCTTCAGGACCTGGTGCCAACATCTGACCTCACGGTTAAGAGGTCTTCCCTGCACCTCCTTGCAATTTCCCATGTTGTAATTTATGGCTATTGCCTACTGTCCTATCCCAGTGTACACTCAAGAGTGTCTCTGCTGTCCTGACACCCTCCCACTGGAAGTTGCAGAGAGCAGCAAGATCCCCTTCCTCCTCCTTCTCAAGATGGAGGAAGCACAATTCTGTGGGCACTTTCTCCCACATTATATGCCTCAGCAACTAGTGATCAAAATACAATCCCACACCATTATTTCTGTGATCCAAGCACGAAGCTAGCCTTCCAATCACAACAGCACTCTGCTACAAGAATAGCTTTCAGTGTGCTTACAACATCCTAACCACCTCCTTTCCAAGCCACATCTAGTGATGAACAGCTCTGACACCCTGAGTGTCGATTGACCCCTCTGGCAGTCCTTCAGACAGCTCCAAGGCTCAACATGTTTCAGCTACAAAAGAAGGATAACAAGCTGTTTCTCTCCAAGGCATCAGTCAGGCCCTCACCATGGCAGAAGACAGCTGCACAAAGGCAAAGCCTCGATTTTGCTGGGTCTGCTTGTCTTTGATAAGACGAATGTTATTGACTGCCAGAGACGCATACGGAGACAGGGCAGTCATGATGGATTCCACTACTGTGTGAGGAGCAATGTTTCGGAGAATGATGGCTGAGGAGAAGAAAAGCCTGGCATTAGCTGTGCATATAATGGCTTTCCAGAGTACTTCAAGCCCTTCAGCAGGCAGTCTGAGGTACAGGGAGAATTTAGTACCCATGTTTACATTTCACATTATACAATAAAAGATTACTTACTATCACAATAATAATCCACAGACTGAACAGCTTCAGCTGCTCCAGGTGGCACCTCCTGCTCTGAATCTGCATAAGAGGAAAATACTTTATAGTCAAAATATGGCTCATTCACCGAAATTCAGCATTTCACAAGCCAGCCCAGGCTCTACAGTGAACTTTGTTTTGTACACAGGACAGCAGATTCCCACAAAATCAAACACATCCAAAAAGGTTAATATAACCTACCGAATTTGTCGGCTCCACAGCGGAAACATTTTAGCCTCCTCCTGAAATTGTAAAGGCAGCACTAGGAGGAACAAGAGAACTCCAGTAAAAACTCAGATAATTTGTAACAATGCTGGCATTTGCTGCACAGTAACGAAAACTAGACATTCAGACAAAGCTAAACCCACCAGAACCACCGAGAACAGCAAAATCCGCCCTTGTCAGATGTTTTTCAGAATGTTCCGGCTACCTTCTCCCTAGTCATCTTGTATTTAGTTATTTTAACTCTGTGGTCTTCAACTTACAATCCCAGGCACAATAAATACTTTAATGCTAAACTGAAAAATGGGCTGGAAAATAAGTTCTCTGTGGGCAAGAAGTGTAAAGCCTGGTCTTCATCTTATTAAATCATCTCCACTTGAGAAAGGTCAAACAAGGAGAACACAGCAGCAGTAAGCAGCAGACCAGCAGCAGTTACAACACCGTATTAGCCATCACCTAAAAACTTCATATTCCAGTGCAGATCACTGCCCAACCCCTGTGTTTCCTGGGCCAACACCTATCACTTCATGTACGTTGCCACCAGAGCTACAAAACCTGTTCATTCCTGTGTCTTACCATTGTGACAGACAGACCAGCAGTACAAGCATATCTGAGTCATGTATCACTTTCTTCAAACCACAGAGATGATGAAGAGCACTGAAGCTGAAACAAACTCGCCCTGATACAAACATGCACTGTACCTTGTTGCAAAGCCAGTCTTCAAATTTAGGCCTGGGGTTGCTGTAGTGCATTGCAATCTGCTTCCCTTGAATCACCAGCTTTTTCTGCAAAAAAAGTGACTTCAATTATTCCTGTATCAAGGTACACATGTCCATTTTCCCATGGCAGAGCACCCTTCGGAGGAATCAGTGCTCCTGAATTACATGGACAACATATGGGGAGGATGTGGAGGACAACCACCGCCACCTACACCCTGCCCATCCAATCCTGCAGAGAGGAGGACGAGGGCAGTAAGAAAATGGGATGTGGAGCAAAGATAAACGGAATCAGGGAGTGTTGAAAAAGCTGCCAAACGCTAAACGCTGCCATGGAACCAGGAAGTGTCTCGAAGGAGACAAAGTCCTAATTTGCTGTGTTCAGGATTAACACATTTTAGGAGTCTCTTTGCCCCCACATTTCTATTCACTTCTGGTATAGCACTGAGCGACTTTTTAAACAGGTCTTTAGGTGACTGCTTCACTTCATCCCCTACTCCAAACACCCCAGACATTTTAACAACCACATTTGGATTGCTTTTCCAAGCACTTTCTTCAGAAATGTCCCTTTGAAAATACAGTAATTCCCCCAAAGGGGCCCTGCTTCTTGGAGGCTGGGTTACAAGTACCATCAACTGACAAGTAACTCAGAGTGGTTTCCTTTGACTAATGCATCAGTTCAATTGGAAGCCTGCACAAGAGGTTTGCGTTCTTCATTCAGGCAGGAGCTCTCCAAAATGAGTAACTAGACTGCAAGTGAAGCTTCTCCAAGGGTAGGAAAAGTTCATAATGCTTTCAGCATGTCCTCTCACTCTGACTTCAGAGGAGTTAGGAATTTGTATCTATTTAAGAAGCCTTGATTCTCAGCCTCACACTTTGCCAAGCGTGAGTATGCAGAATGCCCTTTCAAAATATGGCCATCAACATATTTTAGTTAAACAGGTGGAAGTACATCTGAGGAAGCACCTACTAGAGGCCAAACCCCAGACCTTTAATAGAATTATTTTTATAGCAGGTTGGCTTCAGAGGTAGCACAGAAGTGCCAGGACCAGTGGCTTTTCTGATACCAGGGTCTGACAGAGATCTAGCATGTAGCATGAATAAGTCTCTCACATTCTTCATAACTAAAGAGGGCAAAGCCATTTCTCCTACCGGCAGGAGGGAGGGTTGGAGGGCCCAGCATTCACTGAATATGCACACATAGAAACAAAGCTGCTGGCATAGTTGCAATTCATCATTCTTTCATCTAACAGTCAGCAACTGGGCTGCTGGGGAGATTCTACTTTTTCCCTGCTGCTAGGGTGGCTGGTTACTGGAGTGAATTTGAATAGGTTTTAATAAATTATGCATCAGTACAGCTTTGTATATATTAAAACAATCTAGTTTCTGAAAATATGCTCAGCATTAATTTCTTGATATAACTTTTTCCATTGCATCCACCAGCCCTACTGAGCAGCATGTTAGGAAAAGGTAATTTGAATGCTGCTCTCTGGCTGGGAAAATGACCCATAGTACAGGACACAAAGTATTCCAGCATAAGGCACACAACTTCCATCTGCTGGAAGTAACTGCCCATGAATCCCATTACAGTGCCATTTCTTCACACATAGTAAGAACAGGGCAGAAGAGCATTTCTTATGCTGCCCAGACACCTTCACATCAAATACTTGGTTGTTTAAAAAAGCTTGATAGACTTTTCTCACTTAAGACAGCATTTTTAAGCTTTGTTGTTAAAACATATTAGGAATATTCAAAAAAGGAGCAACAGCAAGTGACACTGTTTGCAGTGCAACCCAAAAATCTCACTGGAATAGGAACTATAGACTCTTACTGCATTTTGGCTTCTTATCAAATCATACTCCATAAAAGCCAAAATACACAGTGTAATGTATATGAGAACTCAATCTCCACGAGATTTAGTTGGAATAAGCAAGTTTTTCCTCTAGAGGAGCCAGTTCTCCCTTTACCGGGGGGAACACAGTATTGCCACCAACTGACACTTCTCTTTCAGGGTTAGTAACAACGTAATGCAGTGATCTGAGCCTTCTCTGGCGACAGAGAAGGAAAGGTCAGGTGGATATAAGTGAGGACTTTTTTTAAGGACTACTTGCTAAACATTCATGAGTCAATTACATCAAAACCAAGTCATTTCAAACAATGGCACATTATGCCACAGAGTGCTCAAAATAGGCAATTTTCTCTCCTAATTTTACCTGATATTTTGTCCTACTGTTACAAATTTTAATATATACAAAGCTTTCATTCTTTCAAATCACTGTTATGGAACAAACCACTCCTTCCACCTTTACTTTTTCCTTTTTTTTTTTTAAACTGTACAGACTTGTTCCATTTTCAGGAATATCTAGACTTGGTGAGTGAAGCAACCTGATTGGCTTCCATCCAGCTGGTAGCATCTTGAAAGTGATAAAACTCCACGAAGGCGAAACCACGGCTTACACCTAGAGACAGCATTCAGATATAGACGGGATACTTGTGTTAGTCAGTTCCTTTAAAACAGGTGAATCTCTCTCCAACTGCTTCATTACTTCATGACAAAGCAGCTTTACAAATGCGACGTCAACTGCTGGGATCTGCTCGTTATTTTGCCATGGCAAGGAACCAAGCTCCCTTAGCTGGCTACATTTCACTCCACTTGAATCCACGTTTAAAGGTAACCATGCAACAGACTACATACTATTAAAACAGGTTTATACTAGTACTACTTACCAATACCTGTTAACAAAAACCCCTGTAGACAGACTTCTTTTAACATGTTGACCAGCTATCTAAAAGTCTTCCAAAAGCCACATTCCTTAGCCATGGCAAACCCTTTATTTTTTTTTATTGCATGTGCTTGCAGTTTGGGGACAATTCTGGATACTCTTTTGGGCTGGGGAAGAGGAAGGTGATGTCAAAAACTGGATTAAGAGCTCTCACCTGTCTTTCTTTTCATCAGCCTCACGTCTGCAGGCTGAGGACCTTCAAAGGACTCAATAAGCTCGCGAATCTGCATGAGATTTCAATCAGAAAGTTAAATTATCGTATCTTGGCAGACAGCTACAGGAGTCACAGAAGCAACCTACCTCACAGTACATGCAAGAGATACTAACACAACATTCCCAACACTACCTCAGAGAAAAAGAAAACCTCTAAGGAGAACCTCGCAGCGAACTGACGAGCACCAGAGAACTCACATAGTCCTTTGCTATGCTGAACAACTGTGGTGTTCACTTAAGACTACAGAATCCTCCAGAATGTGAGTCACTTTTCTCTAGTGTTCCAAGGTTATTTGTGCAACATGTGGCAAATACTGTGCTTCTTCCCAAGTTTTTATGAAGAACACTCATCCCTCTCCTTGCATACCTGAGTACCCCTGGCTTCTAGCAAAGTAAAATAGTAACACTACCCTGCAAGGCTCCATGATGTATGTATTCTTAAGCCTTGTGCTACAGTTCTCATCATCTAACAGTTCCCCTTTTGTTTTGTAGGGGATAAAGTAGATTTGTGGAGAATGTACTGTCAAAGAACAAGCTGAAGAGACATTAGTTTTTTCAGCCATAACAAAGCTGCTTAAGTTGTGGCACAAGCTACAAAAATTTCTGTGGAGAGGCATACAGGAAAAACATTACTTTTTTTTAACGCGACAGCAAAGACAAAAGGAGGTCTTTAGCAGCTCTTCTAGAGCTCAAACTACATTACATAAACCAGAACTGCTCAAACCTGATCTGAAACTACTCATTTACATGCCAATTGGAACGGACCTCCCTCAGTGCAAATAGTTTTTTCATTAAAAAATGGGAAAAGCTGGAAAATATGTGCAAAATCTTAAGTGTCAAAGCAATGACTACTTGGAAATAAAAGCAGTTTTCTTAAGATGCATCATCTACATTCTAAAGATGAGTTCAGAATTAAACTTTCCTATACATGATGCTGCAGTTATTTGCCCAACTGTAGAGCAACATTAATACCACAGAAACAAAAACTGTTCTGAAACACTGTGTTATGTCTGACTGTCTCATTTGGGTGCAGGACCCTACATTTTTGTCAAGCACTTACAGAAATATTAGAACAGCACAGGACGATTAAAAAAACCACTCAGTATTATGACAGTGAATAGTCCAGGAAAAAAAAGAAAACAATTCCACTGCCCAAACAGTGCAAAAGGATTCTCTGTGTTGGCAACGCATGCGCTAAGATCTGAGGCAGAGGTGGAGTCTGCCTGAAAACAAACTGCTAAAGTGCAGCTCCTGCAGGGCTCCCAGCCACCCCTTAAATAACAGCTGTGGGCTTGTACCTCGGTAGCCAAAGTAATCCAGCAAGGAAGAAAAAAACTATAAGACTGATTAAAAAAAGAAAGCTCGAAGGTCATCACCTTCAACAGCCTTCTACTAAGAAGTTAGATAACCGTGTAACAAGCTCATCTGTACTTCCTCCATCAGCGCCACAGCAGCCATTTTATGACTCCCACAGCTGTGCCTACACAAAGCAGCTTTGTGCAGGGCCGTGCTCAGTCTGCGTGTGTAACCCCACCAGTCAGAGCTTCTGGCCTCAATATAACACCCGGAAAAATACAAATACCTCTTTCTCTGTCTCTCCGCAACCTCCCAGGGACGGGGGGGGTGTGGAAAGAGAGAAGGACAAAAAAATAATCTGCCTCTTCCCTCCTATGCGGAAAACCAGAAAGCAGGTAGTTTAAAATCCTCCCTTAGGGAAAGCGCCAAAATGTGCAGGAAAATAAGACTATTCACAGATTGTTTTGCTTGAAAAAAAACTGCTCAACATTCAACTGACCTCTGTTACTTAACAGTGACGGTTTAAACCCTTTAAGGATTCAAAATGGCAGCGCGACCAGCATGCGAAGAGGGGCCACCATGATGCAGCTTTCAACAAAATGGCAGCAGCCACTACCGGCCGACACAAGCCACGGTCTGCCCCGGGTGCAGCACAAGCAAAGCCTCTTCCCGGCTACTTACATCGTTCTCCGTAACTGTGATGGGAAGGCCACGTAACATGATGGTTTTGCTTTCTTTCTCATCGTTAATGTCGTTCCTGTAGTCGTGCTCTCCGTAATCGCCATCGGAATGGTATCCATCTTCTGATTTGTCACTGTTCCTGCGCTCCCGCTCCCTCTGAGAACAGCGCCCACCGTTACCCACCGCAGCGCGGCCCCGCAAGGACACCAACCCGAACCCACACCGACCCCCCGTGCAATCCCGGGCCTGTCCCGAGGCCCGGGCAGGACGCGCAGCTCCAACC